CAGGTTATTGGGCACGATCCGAATAACATTTATCCGTACAAAGCAGGAATGGCCAAAAGCAGGAACAATTTTTCACAGACCAGGCTCTGATGAGTTTGTTTTAGTGTAGAGGCAGGGCGAAAAATCGGAATCGAAAAGTACTATATAAGGAAATTAGAAGAACATACTTTTGGATTATACGTTTAACGCGTTAATGGTTGAATTGATCCACATCACATCAACCTTTGCCGCCAAATTTACGGCTAGTCAACACAACGCAGCAGACTTCCCTCCATTTGATAGTTCCTACAATCACTCTGCATAGCAACACTTTTGAATTCACTCCATCATTGCGATGCCAATTAACACCAACGCTGCCTTTAACCGCCTGCAGGACCAAAACATCCGCGACCAGTCCTTTCTTCAGACATCGTTCATCGAGTACTGTGACGCAGCGAGCTCCGTGTCCGAGATGGACGAGATTCCCAACAACCCCATCATGGACCATTTTGTTGCTGACTTGGGCTCTGAAGGCATCCGCTCGTTGACCAATTTCACCATCTCTGAGTTCGAAACGCTGTGGTCGTTCGTGGACGACGCCATGAACTCTGCTTGGCTGGAGGGACGAGGTCGCCGCTCGACGACCAGTCCGAAGGACTGCTTCTTCATGGCCATGACAGTCCTCAAGCACTACAGTTCATGGGACAAGCATGCAGCCGACTTTGGCTTCAAGGCCCCAACGTTCGAAAAAGCTTGTAATGCGTGTGCTTGAGGTACGACATCGGTTGTGTATGGAGTAATCTCATTGCACTCGCATAGGTGGTTGAACCTGTTCTCTACGAGCGCTTCATTGTGTGTCAATCAATGTCGAGCCTTGTCCAGTCAGGACATCGTTTCTCCAACTACCCATACGCGTCGTATGCGGTCGATGTGAAGTTCCAACCCTCACTTCCATTTGTCCCTCCGCAGCGAAGACGAGACGTTCTACGCGTTTGTCATGGCACGCTACGAAAGAATGGCGACTGAGAAGAAACGCAAACGTGCGGAGTCTCAACGGCGATATCGATTGAATCGCCAAGAACGACTTGCATTGGACCCCAATCGTGCAGGGCGTCTTCGTTTTAGCGAAAGTAATACAGCTTGCATTTGGAGTTGTTGAATACTTGGCAATTTGTCAGCCGTGACGTATTTGATCAGTTACGCGATCACTTCGGAATCCACACAGATTTGAGTCAAATATACATAACTGACACATGAAATCGCGAAGGGTGTTAGTGCATTTTATGAGAACAGTCTTCGGTTATTCTAATCCAAATTGCGCAATGTTGAAATAATCGTTGTTCATAACTACGCACCAGATATTTCTGTTGTTGTGAGTGAACGAATAATAAATGCCCCAGGTAAAATGACGAAGGTTGAATGCAAGTTTTAACGTTACATAATTAATGATTGAGCGACGTATTCTTCTTGGTGCGATAAGATGAAAATAATATCGCATCGGTGCGGTGTTCAAGATGTTTCTGGAATAGGTATATATGGTATTATTTAAAGAGGGGTCACAGCGAATGGCAGTGGTCACCATAATCGCTCAGCCAAAAGGCAATCTTATTTTGACATTTTGTGCATCTAAGGTGATCATTTCAGGATAATGCAATAACACATTAGGTTAATAGCATTCTATGTATAAGAAACTAAGTGTATAGTTTTTGTTTGACGACAGCAAGTTGTATCATATCATGCGCTTGGACGTAGATGCTCTTGTCATCGATTGGTAAAGAATTCTTAATTTCCAGAGGTTGATTTTGGACGTCAATTATATTTATATTCCAGAAGTATGGTCGAGTACCACGGGGGAATGATTTCTGTCGTTCCCTGTAACTTAGCTAGGGAACCCACAAAATGTGGTATGACTATCATAAGTTAAAAAATTGAATACTTTATTCAAGTCAAAAATAGAAGAAGTATACGGTATGTATGGGTCAATGGAACTAAAAACCTCAGGATACATCTCCCCCCATTCTATCCCCTTAGAACAGAGTGGATAGGGAGCCGCCAATGCTCACTCCACGAATTCGGGTATGTCCGTATTGAACTTATGTGCAAAACAAGGGTACCGATAATGTCAATTGGCCCCGAGTTCAATCCCAGTCAAGCCTTTCTATTTCATACAAAAACAAGTTAAATTTAATTTCTTGAAAAGTCAAACCAATACTGAAAATACAAACGCTCTATATTCACATTACTTTGGCAACGCCTTGACGAAACTAGCACGCACTTCAGCTTCAATGATCAAACCCCAAGCCTGGATAGCACACTTGATCATCACAAATCGTTTTTACTTGGCTGTCGTCGCAGAGGATTGATTCAAAACCCGCAAGTCTGGCATGTGTTGTTTAGATGGTCCCATGATGGACACATCCAGCGGCTGGCAGTGAGAAGCGCTGTTCAACGCGTAGAGCTCACGTCCTAGCTCTTCACCAACAATGCTATCACTCTCATCACTTACATGAGAGTCGAAGTTGTCCACCAAGAGAACCGACGGGCCCTCGATATGCAATGCCAATACTTCTCGCACATAGTACCACCAAACAGTACAGTTCATCCAGGCTTTCTCCTGTATGGCATAGTAGTGACCGCGTGGATACTCAGCAAACTTGTTCGACTCGAAGACACCACCGGCGACCCTACGGATGACAAACAAGATGGCCAGCTTGACACCATCACCGCGAACCGTGAGCAAGGCTGTCATGCGGTACGAGTGTCGCACAGAGTTCGATACGTAACTACCGCCGCCACTCAGATGGTGTTCAGACACATGTCGTACGTGATTCCAGTATTGTCAGCATTGAAGTCACAGTCCATCGCAACGTCGGGATGGTCCGTGTGGAACTGCTTGGCAAAGGCAGCACGAGTCTCTTCCAGGTCCCTTTGCGTCTTCCTTTGCCGGCATGCAGTTTGCTTGGAGAATTCATGACGGTCAACGAACCGCTGGAGCAGCCACAGGAGCGCGTTGTACCCATTCTTTATCGTCGCCATGTAGTCTTCGATCCATGCCATGTGGTCGACCCGAAGGAACTGTATCATGTGGGCAGATGTCACGACCTTCTCCTGGCGTCGTAGGTCCTTGAGGTATGTGATCAGCTCACGTGGTTGGAGGGTGATGGGCTTGCCACGCATATGCCAGTGTACTTCTTCCGTGTCTTGGATCCCTTGAACGACGTCATGGTAGCCTTCGTTTGTAGTCAATGGCGAACGCACCTTGCCGGGTAGCCATTTATTACAGCTGCGTGCTGAACGGATGTTTTCTCCGCCAAGAGCACAGCATTGAGCTTTTGTGCAAGCTTTGGGCGCTGTCGACGCTTTGGCGTTGCAACGTGCATGGGTTATGGTGGTGAATTGAGTTACAAGGTTATCAAAACGTACAGGGATGCTGGCTTGAAAATGGCCGGGAATATATTCAACCAATAGAATCCATCCATTTGATTAAATCACTTTTGATTGGATAATTCAAACATATATTCCAAGTTTTTTGGCGCGGACTTATTCAGCGCCGTTCCCTGTAGTGTCTCGTGGAGATGACTCACAATATAAACGAGGGGAGGCACAAGCTTCCGGACGTCAGCGCAAACCTTGTTAGCAACTCCTTTCTTCTCATGTGGGAGCTTAACAAATATTGTTGAGAGTTGGGGACCAAATACTTCCCACCAACTGTAAGATCCTATCTACCAATCACAGACATAATCCACAAAATCCCACCAATCAGAATACAGTCGCAAGATCCTACGCGTAAGGGATACATCCGGAAGTTATCCGGACGTCGCCAGCCCGACGTCTGGTATCCTAAGGATGATGCGCGACGCATCGCTTGCTTGTTCCGTGCTTTGCCCAAAGGTGAGACTCGCTGCATGGAATTCGTTCGTTGCCTTCAAGTGTGTATGCAGAGCAGCCGCCGCACATGACACTTGACCAAGCGCCGTGGTTTACAATTTACACCAAGGAGCACGCCAGGGTAGTAAACTCGGCGTTGGCGTCGACTTCCACCAAAAAAGGACGCCTCAATAAAACGCGGCGCTTCTTGCGGGGCAGTATCAAGCAGCCTAGTTTGAAAACTCTTGCAATTCTAGCTGTTGCGATGCGACTGGCAGGTCTAAATGGGACCACGTTGTGCAAGTTAACCTAATGGACCATGGATTCTGGAATGCCACATCCGTGCCCAGACTCGACGCACCGCACGCGATGAAAGCGACTCACTCCGCGACTGGCTTTTCCTACTTGATTGGGAACTTGAACTCTTAGGACTTAGCTTGACACGGCTCTGCGCAATGCGTCCAAGAGCTGTCCATTGGGCCGGGTTCAAGTGTTGGTTTCGGTGAAACCGAATGCTTGGGTGGAGACATTGGATCTCAACGGTCGCCCCGAATCGATACCACTGCAGCAAACTCGGACGCCGATTTTTGCTCCGGCAGCCGTGTTCATCCCGCCAAGGCACTTCCATGGCTGTGCTCTGAATACACTGTTAGTCCGCCACAAATTCCAATCTTGAACTCCCTTGACACAGATTTCAATACTCCTCGCTCGCCGCATGCCTGTACGTCAGTTTTATTGGAGTTTCACCCTTCCCCGTCTTGTCGATTCTTCCTACCGCCACACTGACACAAATACTCTCTGCGAAATGGAAAATTTGTGTGCTGAGGGTCGCACTGGAGGGCTGAAGCGTCCCCAGCTCGCAACCCTTGAACCCATTTTACCCACCCCAGTCTTTTCGGAACCCTCGACCATGACACTCGAGGTTTCCTACGATTGGAGAGCTTCACCGGTCGGCGTGCTATTCATAGCTTCACAACAGTCCACAAAAATACACCTTCCCACGGCGACTTGAACAGACCTGCGACCCTTGGCCAGTTTATTTTCCGATTTACTTCAACCTCGACTGACCATGGAAACCAGCGTGGTGCCGTTTGGCGTGGGGCTTCCCCCCACTCGGTCGAAGCACGCGCTAGTGCCTCGCCTCTTGTCCGCCTTCGGGTTTGTCTACTTAATCGTCACTGTGTGTTTCAACGTGCGGTACATCAGCACGATGCAGCGGAGCGCCGCGAACGACTACTATTGGGCTGGGTTCAACTCGACCGGGGTCCAAACGTTCGTCGCCGACGTATACAACTCGAAGCTCCACCTGACGAAGCAAGGTCCCCTCTTATTCAACTCGAGCGTGGCCATGCCCAAGTCGTACGCTTCGTCCAGCACGTTCATCGACATGAACCCGACATCCGCCCGTGCGACGGTTTACAGCAGTCTGCCGTTTGAGAAAGCCGTCGCGTTGATTCGGTCGTCGCCGTTGGACACAGCTCTGGCCGTTCCCACGCCGTATTGCTGGTTGGATTTCGGTCGTAAGTTCGGGATGGCCATTACAGCGCGTCGCCAAGAACGGTGTGAAGCGTCCGAAGCGACGAATGCGGTCATGTACATGGATACACTGTTTCGCCAATCGTTGTACTCCGAGGTCATGCAATGCAACTCGTTTCGCGACATGAATGCCACGATATTTGGCCCTCTGCGGGCATCGGCGGCGGGAATCGACTGGTTAGCCGTGCTCGAGTCATGGTCGAGGTTGCCGGTCGCCGACGAGGTTGCCGCGTGGAAGCAGGCTGGGCTCACGATGTGGAAATTGCAGCCGTACAATTCGAACCAGATCGGGTTGGACGAAGCAATTGCCATCACGAACGCGATGGGCCTGTCGTACAGCATCAAAGTAACGAGCATTCCAACTTTCGCCCGAGGGACAAGCGGGTGGACGACGGCGAAGGCAAATTTTGGGATGTTGAACAACATGTACTGTTGCGCGTTTTTTCATTGCAGCGTCATACGAGGTCTGCCCAACAGCATCGATCGCATGCCATTCGATTGGGATGTGTATATCATGGTTGGTCCTCGGCGCACGCCAACCATCAATTTAGTCCGCAGTTCGATCGGTCCTTTTGGATCAATTGACATGCGATACGTTCATCCGCCGTCGGCTCTTGTCGGGTTTGCTCTCGACTTCCACAACTACGCGATCCCAATGCTTCAAAACACTGACGTGGCCGCGATGTACGACAGCCAGCGAGAACCTGCCGTTGACCCGATTCCATTCTCGTGGACAACGTCGCCCAACATGCTCTTCTTTGGCGGGAATCCATTTTGCATCTTTGGCACTGCGCAAACCGCACCAGTCCAGTCGTTTTCGTTTGAAGATACATGCGGGAGCCAAATCCCCAACACCGTGACACTGTCCAAGCTCTCGACGCTGTTTGCTCTGACGGTCGTGCCATCGTTCGATGTGTATGCTACCTGTAGCCTGTGCCCTACGACAAGCGCGCTGTGCACTTTGACGTTGCAGTCAGCCACCTCGATCCACCACCGCCTCCAGCAACAGCAAGCTCACCCGAGTGTTCCTCCAGCACTGGGTGATGCCATGGCCAAACTAAACTTGACCTTCATTCAATTCGCGACCAAGAACGGATCCGACGTGCTCTTGGTGCAGCCCATGGTCCCCACAACTCCGAATGATCCATGGTCAGTGTTTGGCTGGGTTGCCGTGCATGACTGGGTTCAAGGTCGACGGGAAGTGTATACGTTCGAAGGCGACTTTGGCAGCTACTCGACTTTGTCGCCTTTTCAAGCGTACATCAGATTACCGGCGAACCCTCTCGAATTGCCGCAAAACGCCTGCTACTACGTTTGGTACATCATCGTGTACATTACCACAGCGTTGGTGGCAGTGGCTGCGTTCATGCTCATGTTGGGGACGTGGATCAAGTTTGACGTTCCTGGCACGAATCTCTTTGTGTTCAACCGAGTGGTCGGGTCCGTCTGGATCGGCCGCCCATTTCTACTCATTCGAGGCATGACAGCCATGGTCATTCTCAGCACAGCCAATGTCAACTTTGTTTCCCCTGGGGGGTTTGCCCAACTTCGCCTGGAGCCACGGCCCTGGCTCGACGTCCTGCTTTTGGCCGGCGAGACCAACTGGGTCTCGTACGCCATCACGGACGTTTTGCTTCCCTTCACTGGTCGATATGCGACGATGTACTCTCCACTAAGCAGCATTGCTTCCTGGCTTATCATTGCAATTTGGGAATTCACTAATCCCTGTGCGCCCGTCGCCATGATCCAGCAAAATTGCACCTTGCCGTCCGCGACCCGCGCCGCTTGCACTGGCGGCAGTGTCTCGATTGGCAGCCCCGACCGCTTGCTCGCTCTGTGCATTGTCCATGGCTCGTGTTTGGTGGCGTCGTTGCTCTTGTCTGTCTTGTACTCGTTCACGTCGTCGCGCTTGCAAAGCAGTCGAAAGGTGCACCACTTGCTCATTCCGGCCGCCACCGAAGCCTACTTGATCAGTGGCCACGCAAGCACGACCGTGCGTCTGGACAAGGTGTCGTGTGTCATGTCTGGCATGTTCCCGCTGCTCCAGACCTTGTTCGATCTGAAGCTGTGGGGAGTCATTCCCATGGAAAACACAGCCTCGAGTCCACATGAATTCGAGTTTGCTCATGCTGATTTCAAACCCAAGTGTGCCGTCGATCGCCAGGACGAGCCAAAAACACACGCCAATCCAGTCAAGTGGTTACGCTTGAGTGCGTTGGCAGCGCTGGGCTACCTCGTGGCAACAGTCGTGGCAAGTTATACGTTTTTGGGCTTGACGCAGTCTACAATGTCCAACGATTTCTGGTGGGAAGGCTTCAACACCTCTGGAACGCAGCCGTTCGTGTGCAACTGGTTCAATTCCAGACTCCAAACACAGCGCGAGTCTAGCGCCGCCATACAATTCGACCAACCGCAGGATGGCCAAACCTTTGTGCGATACAATGGCACATCTGGTGTGGTGGAGAGCTCCTATTTGTACGGAAACGGTATTCAAGACGAAGCGAGTACGTTTCCGTCGGTGATTCAAGGGCTGCGAAATATGGACGGCTGTCAGCTGCCGTGGATCTTCACTCCGTACTGCTATGTGGATTTCGAGCGGCGGTGGGAGATGGCCAACACCGCCAACAAACAACGCCGCTGCCTGGCCAACAACAAAGCAAACGCGGCGGTGTACCTGGAAGCAATTTTTCGCAATGCCGACTGGATCAACTTGAACAAATGTTGGGGCAGTGCCTTACAAACCGCCGTGTTTTCTTATCTGGAAACGTCGGTGTCGGGAAAGGATTGGCTCGCTGGTGTCCAAGGCAACATGAAATCAGTGGCGGCGGAGGCCGAGTACTGGACAGCCCAGGGCTTGACGACATTTCAAACGCAGTGGCAAAGTTTCAAAACGATCGGCATCGTTGAAGCGTTTTCCATTCGAAATGCGTTTGGGATTTCGTACCCCCTCACTCTCAAAAACTCGAATGGGACGTTCCAACCGGGGAATCAAGTTACGCTCAAAATGTACTGGGGGTTTGCGAACGACTTGAAGGCGGTCGCGACCAACACGTCGCTCCTGGGCGGCCTTTCTTTGATCCGTCAAAGCCCGGTCTTTGCTTTCCAGAATACCACAACAGGGCTGGAGTCAGCGATCGCGCAAGCGGGGTACTTGCCGTCGCCAATTTCTCCTGGATTGAATCAAGCTCGAAGTGCCCTTGGTCCATTTGGCAGCATCGATGTCAAGCGAATTCCATGTCCGGCATCTCTCAAAGTATTGCATCAACAATTAACGCTCACGGTCACCAGACTGCTGCTAATCGAGAATATCGTCACTGCGACAAACCTGACCAAGGTGCCCCGGTCGACCCGATTGTCGCTGCAGCCCCAAGCGTGGGATGGCTTTCGCACGGCTGGTGGCAACATTTTTTGCGAGCCACCTACTCAAACCGCGTACGACGTGGGCGAATTTTTCACGGTCGCTGGGGTGTGTGGCCTCCCGATCTTGAATGTAATAGCTCCAGTCGTTGAAAACATCGCCAAAGCCATGGTTGCGGCTCGATGGGTTGACAAAGGCTACACCGATGCAAATATCGTGGCTACCTGCCAGCGCGAGAACCGAAACAAACCGTCGTGCTTGTTGGCGTTGCGGGGATTGTACCCCATGCTGCAGCTATACCAGGTGTCGGTTGTGTCGGATGGGATGCTGGACCTTATCGAAGCCGCAAAGCGAGATGTTCGTGACAAGTTGCAGGTGGCGGTGATCCAAACGCTACTCAACTCCAACAACACTATGGCCTTGTCCAGAGTCAACATCTTGGACTCCGTCGAAGCCAACTACGAGCTGTGGGGATGGCTGTACCTGTTGGACTGGGTCGATGGCAAGCGGGAAGTCATACAACTGGAGGGCGAAATCGGCTCGATCACGACGATATCAGGCTCCCTGGCGTTCCAAACTACACCAACAAACACGCTGGAAGTACCGCTGAATGTGGCGTACTACATTCGAACGGCTATTCAGTACGTCACAATCGTGCTGTTGCTTGTCGCATGCATCGTCGTGTGCTATATTGTCATCATGCGCGGGTACATTGAGTTCTGGAACATGATTGAATTCAACCGTGTCGCTGGGATGGTCTGGATCGGGCGTCCGCTCGTCTTCCTGCGAGGAATCACCGCCATTTGCTTGCTTTCGACCTCGAAACTCGACATGGTTCTGTCCTCGAATTCGGTGGTCACGCACATGGTGTCTCCGCCTCGATTTTGGGTCACCACGTTCATGTCGTGCGGCGAAATGGCGTGGCTCGTCTACATCATCAATGACGTGTTTTCACCCCTGACCAAGCAGTTTACGTACTCGTACTCGTACAAGAGTTCGAACCTGGTGTGGCTGACCACATTCGTTTGGAGCATGGTATCGCCCCCCGAGCACAGCATCACGATCAATCGAGAGTGCTCGATCGACGTTGTGGACTTCCAACTCGTGTGTCGCAGTGGTGTGCTCGAAATCGGCAGCGTAACTCGCTTCGGTTGCCTCATTGGCCTCGCTTTTGGCGGTTGCTTGCTCTGTTATGTTCTCGAACGGGTGATGTACCCGCGGCTACAGTTTCGACTTTCCACCCACTCGCTCATGCTACACGCCACCGCGCGAAACAATTTTGAATTTGACCGATGGACGCATCGACACGTAAACTAC